GCGATATCTCGGCGAGCAACCTTCCCCCGTAACCCGTAGTTAGGAGAACTACGTTGACTCTGATTTCTCGTTCCAGACGGGAATACGTAGGTATAGAACTGTTGTGTTCTGCCGAGTCATTTTCCTTTCTTTTCAGACTATACTTTTAGCGTAGATAGATAAACCAACCCGTCAGATAAACACAACAAGCGTGGATCCCATCGAGTACGATGGACGTGAGGGGTGCTAATACCTTCCCCTTGCGTAACCGACTCCCGAATCCAGGCATGGTTGCGATGACCTTGTCTTATACCTTTTCGTCAGGTTTTTTCCGATCGTTTTCTTTCCATTTCGGGGGATAAATAACGAAAGGTGGCGACTCTTCTGTTTTGCCGACACCTTATTTTCGCGGTAGCGACACTTATATCTATCGACCATGAACCCACCACTGATGGCACGAGTTCAAGCATAACAGGAGGCGGTATTTGTTCTCCCATCGAAGGGACTAAGGATGGCACTACATCGTTCCTAGACATGTCTCAAGGATTAGTATTACTAGGCTAAGGATTAGAACCATTCCCTCGAAGGTTTGGGTTATTTGGCTAATTAACATTTGTCGCCATTTTCCTAGTGTAGTTTCTCCTTGGTCTTCCTTCGTTTGTAGCAGCTATTTTACCACTTCTTAGTAACATGCAACGAAGTTTTCTTATAGATAAAACTAACAAATACAGTTTTCCCAAAACTTTATAAAAAGCTTTACAAAGTTTAGCACGGTCCCACTGGGCATGCCAATTTGTTTCCCGTGAAAATTGGAAAACAACCGCTGATCTTCGAAATCTAACTTTGGTGACTCACAGAACCGATCAGATTGATCCTAGTACATGTGCTAAATTTTAATTTAAATAAAATACTAAAGACTGAACACTTCGACAGTGTTTATGAAGAAAGGTCAACTGAAGTGCATGGTTCGACAAGACTGTAAGAGCATTAAATTGAAAGAAAATGTTAAAGAATTTAATGGAAAAGCTTAAAAGAAACAAAGCATAACGTTGAAGACGTAAATTGTAGGAAAGTAAAAGATAAACTCTTTCAATACAAAGTAAAAGTAAATTTCATTAAAGCATAAAATGGTGTTTTTACATCATGTACATTCTCCCATGAATCTTTTCTTTACACATGGATACTTTGAGTAAATTTGGAGTGACTTGTACAATAGTAAACACAACACACTAAATCCTATTACTAGAACCCCTATTTATAATAATAAAAGTAATTTCTGTTAACTTCCTAAGATAATCAGCCCCTGACAAGTGTCGTGCTGCATGCATCTGCCTCTTGGATGTGCGCCACTTGTCTTGTTCAGGAATGAGAAAGCATAACTACTCCCTCCTTTAGTTGAATTTCAAATTCTGTTAGTATTTGGATAACATTCTCGGTTGAAGGTAACTTCAATTTTAGAAATATTTTCTAAGTCCCCAAACTTCTTCCTTTCTTATGTGAGTGCCTTCGATTTCATTTATTATAAAGACCTAGTCGAAGGCTTCTTCACATTACCTCGAGAAATCAACAATTTAATCAAAAACTCTAATTTAATGTAGGCGTCAGATTTCTGAGCTAACAATCCCTTCATAGTCAGATAACTTCATAGGCTTCTCTAGCGTTCTTAATATCCTATTGTCAAAAATATGAAAAGACAATATGATTCTTCTTTGTTCAGCTACCAGAGCATCTACTTATGATCTTTCTGTTTCTCTTGTATCAGGAACCAAATAACGAGTTAAATGAGGAGCTTCCGATGAAATTTGGTTTTCACTTCTTTCTAAGGAGGCAGGGGAGGAGTTGGTGTACCTCGCTCATGTGAGGTCGAGGAGATGGTTAATCTTCTTCGTGTACCATAGGATTTGTGGCTGGAGTTGGATCTGAGAAAACTACAGGTCAACTTAGTGAGTCCCCTCACGTATTGTGCTTCCCTAGGGAGGATTGGCCTATATGTTCTCTTCTAATCTCATAATTCTTTCAGCCAGAAGTTGAGAATTTTTTTGTTGCATCATATTGCACACCTAAATTTTCCCGCGATGGAGGTAAGACCAGGAAATATCTCCAGTGAGATCATCAATGGATGAGGTAAAGGTTGATTAGGTATTCTGACAAGATCAGGCAATTGACTGGGTTAAAATTTTGGGAGAGGTTGGGATACTCTTAGAGCGACTTTCTAAGGAGTCGCGTTTGAGTTGGTTGGATCTAGTGGAAAAGTTATTATCGATCTATGTTTTTATAGGTATGAAACTGATGATCCTGATGGTGACGACCTACTTGGTATTTTAATGACGACGATGTTAATGATTGTTGAAATAAGTGGTGATATATTTTTAACTCTTTAATGATGGTGAATAACTTGAAGATAACTCAAGTTTCATCATATAGAAGATTCAAGGTTCTACTGAAGTTCTTATATGATCGATATATATATATGGAAAAGGAACTTGACAACTTTAAAGTAGTTAGAGAGGAAGTGCGAAAGCTTGCCTGGTCGTGTCTGTCTGAGTGACTAGAGTCTTGTGAAAGAATGAGAGTAATCTTAATATACTAAGTCAACTCACACAGACACACCTAAAGTTATTTTAAGACCTCTTTTTACTTAAAAAAATCATATAAAATGTTTTTGGGGTCTAGCTAGTTGATTAGGAGAGTGCCTGATTGGTTGGAAGCGATTTTCCAACTAAATAATTGATTAGACAAGTAGCCTAATTTATTAGGACTTTCTTGGTTAGGTCTATAGTTGATTGAGACAATCTCTTAATGATTAATAACAACTATATATCAAAAACCTTCCACTTGTTGCCTTAACAATTGATTATTTGGGGTGCCTAATCAATCAGCCTAATCGATTATCCCATTAATTTAGCCGATGGATTGTTTCCTTTTTTAGCCACAATTTTCCTTATATAAAGAAGGTCTCTCCTCATTCGAAAACACACTCAAATTCATATTTATCCTATTTCTTAACATTTCTCCCTCTTTTCTTTCTCTTTAAATATATTTTTCACCAAAGTTTCCTTAATGCCTTGTGAGTGAAAACAACTTATGAGAAAAGTGTTGTATTGATGTCATGTCACTTTTTTTATTTATTTCAAAAGTGTTATACTCTTGAAGGATCAAGTTTGGTTTTTGAGATCAACCATTGAAAAATCTTTGTTTGGTTATAGAACGCAGCTTGTAAAAATAATGTTTGGTTATTGAGATTAGCCTGTGAAATATCTATGTGGTTTGTGAGTTCATCCGGTGAAAAAACTCTTTTTTGGTTGGGGTGTTAAGCCAATGTAAAATCTCTTGATTCGCTTGTATCAGAAGTTCGTGGAAATAACCTATAAAAACTCAAGATTTTATAGAACCCTCAAGAAGATCTCTTGTGGAAATGACTAGGCCAAAATTCAGTCGAACCTGTATAAATTTCAGTTGTTAGTGTTGGGATTCGAACCATTTCACTCTAAGTATATTTCACTACGGTTGATACCTATGACTGCTGTGACATGTCCTTTAGTAAATACCAAAAAAGCGTCCAAAAATGAACTACTACCACTTTTAACAGAAAACCGTTGTAAAATTTGTGTTACGAAAGGTTTATTTTGTAGTAGTGTACTCTCATTCATGCAGTGGAAGAAATGACATTCTTATAATCACTAGCTATGCGAATATGACCATCACTCATCTTGACCAAAAAACAAAAAATGCTGAAGGTAAAAGCGTGAGTTGAGATGGGAGGGGTACTTGGGTAGGCAGGGATGATGAAGCAAAGGAATAAATAAAGGCAGAAGCTTTGAGCTAAAAACTACAACAACTTTGATAAGTGCTTTCAAGAAGGAAGAGGAGAGGATGTCTGCTGATAAGAAATGCTTATGAATGAAATTGAACGTCAATGATTGTGAAGAGAAATTACAGAGTCAACAGATGAATTTTTTCATGGAAATGCAAACAAACTCGAGTGCACTCGAGTACACTATAAGTAACATCATGCCCTAACTAGTCACTTCAACCCATGTGTTAGAAAAAAACATCAAAACATTTCAATGATAGAAATGTATTTAATGCGCTTGTTCCCTACTACTTTTTCACCTGACTCCAATTGTTTCACTTCTAGTTTGAATTGGACGACATCCTTGGAGGTCTGCCATGACCGCTAAAGACTTTCTCGACTCCATAAATGTCCAGCAAGCCTTGTGGCAACTGTTTTGGACCAGCCAGAGGTCCAAATCGGTGGGATCCAAATTAATGCAAATTCATTCCACATTACTTAAGGTATAAAAGTAATCTCACATGAAATACAAAATACATTTTTTTATCTCCACTCTTCACATGACTCAAGGTATAAAATTACATTCTTTTATAATTTTAAACTGACTTGAACGTTGAAGTGTTAATTTTACAGATTCCACCTCTACGCCACCAATTAAACATCGACACCACGTGTCCAAAATTCCTCACCACCAACTTCAACTATTTCTAATTTTAAGATAGATCATATATAAATATATAATAATATGATTGGCGTCCGAGAACACCCAGAAAGGAAAGCCAATCCAAAGTATCATAGAAAAAACTTTTCCATTCATCTCCGTTAAAAAAAAATCTCAAAACTTATAAACTCCGAATAGATAATCTCACACATATTTCGTTATGATGCAAATTGATGGAATTTGATTCCTACATTTATAAATCACACGTTCCCCTACCGTCAATGCATTTCATATATATATATATATATATATTATTTGCACTAATCTGCAGGCAATACACAGAATCCAGATCCCAAATTGATACTCATATACAAACTGCCATATACATTTGGTATAAAAATTGCCATATTTTTATCGGTACAGTAAACTCATTAAATGCACCAAATTCCAAAAATCTCCCGCCTGCATAAATCTACAGTTTCTCATACTATTCCATTCTCATTCTGCATTCTCACTCGCAATCGTGACTCCTAAATTGAAGCATTTGTTTCTCGTTATTGCGTGACAATGTCAAACGCCATTGAATTCTTCCCTCTCAACACCGGAGCCAAGATCCCTTCCGTCGGTCTGGGAACTTGGCAGTCAGATCCCGGCCTCGTTGGTCAAGCCGTTGCTGCCGCCATCAAGGTTTCTCACTACGTCTTCTTTTTCGTTATATCGATTTTAACATGCACATTTTTGGAAATTTCGCAGTGTTAAATATATACTGATTTTGATTTCGATGAATCAATTTGATACATGAAGGCTGGTTATCGTCACATTGATTGTGCTCAAGTTTATGGCAACGAGAAGGAGGTAATTCATTGTATGTTTTGTCAATGGTGATGCGATTTTATGTGTGAAGTAAATGATTACTTGATTTCTTCTTTTGCAGATTGGCTCTGTATTGAAGAAACTATTTGATGATGGCGTTGTGAAACGTGAAGATTTGTGGATTACCTCGAAACTCTGGTTTGTTTCTTTATATTATATTCTACATTTCATTACCTCGTTGTGTCAATTAATTACAATCACTTCTTTATCATAGAAACTGTGAACAATGTTATCCGTAGGCACCTTTAGACAAGTTTTTAAATAACGGTCGTGTTGCGGTAGCGTAAGGGCTTTTGTGAGTCCGGTAGTGTCGCGGTGTGAATTAATCACAATTTGTTCTTTATCATACAGTGAATAATGGTATCGGTATCGGAACCTTCTGATACCGTTTTGTCGCGTCTGTTTTCGTAGCAACAGACCGTTTTTTAAAACCCTGCCTTCAAATACCATTTTGTCACTGTCGTTTTTGCGGTAACGGGTCGTTTTTTAAAACCATGGTTTTAGCTAAATGAGTTAATTAATGATGCTGAAATAACAATAGTTTTATGAATTTGTTAGTCTCTTCTTTGCTGTTCAGAACCTAAGGATTTAATATGAAGATCTGTACTGCAGGAATACTGATCATGCTCCAGAGGATGTACCGCTAGCATTGGATAGGACTTTAGCAGACTTACAGCTTGATTATGTTGATTTGTATCTTGTATGTTATAATATATATCACTTAATCTTCACATACTCTCCAACTTCTTGCTTGGTTAATTAATTTGTTTCAAAATTTGAACTGAAAATGTGAAATCTGAAATATGAATTTCAAAGGAACAGCTTTTTAATGATGAAATTGTGAACTTAATTAGTTAAGCAGTGCATTCTTTTACTGTAGAAAAGTTTAACGCTTGGTTATATATTGTGTGATTGTTTGGAAAATGCTAATTGTTTAACTTTTTGTCTTTTTCAATTCTAGCCTTTTCTGAGAAATATGGAAGTACTTGTTAAGCCATGTTTCTTGCACAGTTATTGACCACAAGTATAATTTAGTTTAGGGAATTTAAATTTCACTTCTTCCATATGCTGCATTACCTAAGGGCTTTTATCTTATTCATTCATCTTTTTATTTATGTTTTCTTTTAGATGCATGTAGGATTTATTTCATCTAATTTCAAAGTCTGGTGGTTTAATAGTTTATTTCGGACATGCTTCATTGAATGTTAACCGGTGACTCTTCTTTTTCATAAACCGTGAGCCAGACCACATTACAACCCTCAAAAGACCTAATTGAAACAAGGATATTTTGAAAGCGTGCTACAACAAAGTTGTGTAAGCTGACTCCTAAAGATCTTTGTGAATCATTTATTTTGGCTGTATACTTGTATTAAACTTTGAGTGTCCTGGACCGCCGCATTCTAACCAAAGACTCATTTATTTTTCATCTTTCAAAAATAATTTTGATTTCAAAAGTTGCATGAACTTTGCATTACCATGTTTGTATGAATATTTTTGTTTGCAAACTGGCTTTCCTCTAAGGAATTTTCAAACAATCGAGAAACTTGGTCAAGTGATCCTATCAGGGGCAAAGTCTTCTCAGATCTGGTTTATCCATGAGATTTTCAAGACTCGGACTGGGGAAAACCTTCCGAGGGTACAGCAAAACAGTCATTTTCAGAATCAGACAAGCTGAAGCAATTATCAGTTCATCTGTAATGGATAATTTAATCTGGGGTAGTTTATTTGAAAGATCTCCAAGCGGCTTTCCATCCTTCCTATGAGGATCATCAACCTGATTACGATTTAGCAAGTGGCAGTAATCTCCGGGTTGAGGAATCAGTTTTCCAGTCTTGTCATCTTACCAGAAAAGTCGAGCCTTGTCGTTGACATCTGCATTTGCATTTGATCATATCTCATAACATAATTCATATACATATACATTTCATACCTATGCATATCATGAGTGTTTCATCCTTATTTGCATTTCTCCCGAGGTCGTGTTTTATCCAGGTCTTACCTTGTGGTCGAAGTCCAACTTACTTGGCACCTACCAAACAACTTTGTGTAGTGTCCATCTGATGTTCTTCCAGATAGGACGTTTTTCTTATCCGATGGTTTTCTGGATATGCCTGTTCCTTTTACGTCCAATACTATCCTCATATATTGTGTTTATACCTTTCATTCAAAGCCATTATTGGATGTCTTGTACCCTGATTTTAATGTCTCTTTCTGATGGTTTTCCAGATTGAGTCTCGTTGTTCTGATGTTCTTCCAGAACTTCGTTGTTACGTATCGGATGGTTTTCCAGATATTTTTCCTTGATTCTGATGGTTTTCCAGAATCTATCCGATGGTTTTCCGGATATGTTTCTCTTTCTGATGGTTTTCCAGATTGAGTATCTTTTATCTGATGGTTTCCCAGATATTTTCCTTCGGTTCTGATGGTTTTCCAGGATCTATCCGATTGGTTTTCCGAATTGTTTCTCTTTCTGACGGTTTTCCAGATTAAGTATCTCTTATCTGATGGTTTTCCAGATCGAGTCTTTGTTCTGATGTTCTTCCAGAACTCTATCTGACGATTTTCCAGATACCCTTGTGATTCTGATGGTTTTCTAGAATCTTTCCGATGGTTTTCTGGATCTGTTCTCTTTCTGAGGTTTTTCCAGACTGAGTTTTTGTTCTGACGTTCTTCTAGAACCCCTTTGTTGCTTATCTGATGTTCTTCCAGATAGGTCTTCAAAACTTGCCCCGTACATTTATTGCTTTCCTAAATGTTTCGGATTTACCTTCAGAAACTTGTCTTCATCTCATGCTCCTATAGATGTCGTCCTTTTGTTTCTGGATATAGCCCAGGGTTTATTCGATGGTTTTCTGAGTAACTCTGGTATGTTTTAGAGTTCATTCAATGTTTTTCCGGATGTCCCTGAAATTTGTTTCTTTGACTCCAATGTTATTCTATGGTTTTTCCGAGTATCTCTGGTGTTTGTTTCTCTCTGTATAATTTCCAATGATTTCTGAAGATCCCGCTCGATCTCTTCGCTTAAAGGAATGACACGGAAATTCCAGCACTTGTCGTTTACCTGATCCTACCGCCGTATGGATCCTACGTTACTGTTCGTTCTAAAGTGACAATTGTCGCGTTATTCCACCAGTGCGTCGTATTCCCCAGTGTAGTTACTCGTCGCGTCGGTCCCCTATGTCGTCGTGTCATCTGCATCCTTGCATTCATCATTCCATCATATGCATCATATTAGATTCATGGCATTGTCAGCATTATAGTTCGTGTTATTTTGTCCATATCATTGCATATCACTGCATCTAGGGGCCAAATTTTCGGTTATCTGTATTTAAATCCCTTTCACCGCGATTTCTCGAGTCTCCGCTGCTCAAATCATCCGGTGAAGCTATTTAAATAGGGGCATCTGTTGCACCTCAAATTTGTCCTACCTTTACATAGTTTCTAGTGCCATTTTATTTTGAATGAATAAAATTGCACAATTGACAAGAGACCGTGTGTAAGGAGTTGTGAGTGTGAGAGGTTGAGAGTTCAAATCCCACCTTCTTCACTTTTTGTTTTGTTTCTTTTATTTTTATTCTAACATTTCTATTTTCATAAAAAAAAATAACAGAATAGTTTTTTTTATTATTTAATTATTATTTTCGTATTTTATTTAAATTATTTTTTAAAAAATATTATTTTTTTCACTTTTTTTCATATTATTCATAAAAACATCCAAAAATTATAAAATTAAAAATATTAGAAAAGATTTTATTCTTTTTATAATATTTTTAATGTTTAGTAAATAAATAGGGTTTTAAGTTTGTTTTAATTTGTTTTAGTTTTGACTAATTCTTTAAGTTGGGCTTTAAAGTGGGAATTAGGTTAGAGTTAACCCTAATTTATTATCTATATAAACATGAGTTGCATTTGAGAAAAAGGGGAGAATGAGACAAAAGAAAAAACGGCGACCGTTCTCACAACTTATCAGAAGAAAGGAGGAACCCACAAACCCAGAAGGAGAAGAAAGGGACGGTTCTTCGAAGAAGAAGACGGAGCTTCCTTCGTTAATCATCATCATCGCGACTCAAAGAAACTCAAGCTCTCATCATTGTCCTCCTTCCGGAACTGTTTCAAATCCCATCTCAAGAATTCGTCGCCGTTACCGTAAGCTTTTCCTAACTTTTTAGATTTAGTTAATATTAAAATGAATTTTCTTAATTAAAACTCCTCTTGAACCAAAATTCTTTTTTTAGAGGTTAGTGCATTATTTTTAATTAAACCATTTTTAAAAAGAAATACAACAAAAGAAACATAAAACTAACATTAAGACCTTTTATTCAACATTAAAGCTTTTTTTTGAACAAGATTTAAAACTCTTTTATTAAAGTTAAAACCTCTTTTAAAGTTTTTTTTTCTTACAAAATTAAAATCTTTTCTTAAAATTAAAACTTTTTTTCCAATTTTAAACAACCTTTTTAAAATTTAAATCTAAGTTTGTAAATTAAAACCATTATTTATTTAAAGTTACTACAAACCTTTTTAAATATATATATATATATATATATATATATATATATATATATATATATATATATATATATATATATATATATATATATATATATATATATATATATATATATATATATATATATATATATATATATATATATATATATATATATATATATATATATATATATATATATATATATATATATATATATATATATATATATATATATATATATATATATATATATATATATATATATATATATATATATATATATATATATATAACACTTATAATTAAAAACCATTTTTTATAACTTATAATTAGTTTTTTTTAATAACTTAAAATTATATTTTTTTTCTGATGACTAATAAATAAAAACATTTTAATAGCTTATAGTTATATTTCTTTTTTTTATAATTTATAGTTAGTAATAGTTTTTTTTTATGATTTATAGTTAATTTAGTTTTTAATAAATTGTAATTAAAAAAAAACATTTAGATTTCTAATTTATGATGTTCCTAACATTTAGTTTATTGATCCTTTATTTTTTGCACTCCATTTTATAGTTGTAATTTACGTGAGGCAATCGCCGCTCTTATTTCATTATTATTCTTGCATTTTCCATGGATGTAATTTACGCGAGGCCATGGTCGCAATTTTTTTTTTTTGGGATTTGTAATTTACGCGAGTGATCGTCGCGACGCTTTTTCCGCTTTCTTTACTTTCCGCACTTTAATTTCCGCCATATAATAATTTGCCATGTTTTGCATGATTTACCGTTATGTCCTTCCGAAGGAATTAGGTTTAGCCGTTTGACCGCTGAGTCAATAACCCTAATTTCAACCGTTTCAAACCCTAATAGCCTAGGTGTCCCGCCGTGGACGAAAATGCCCTTTACCCTAGCATTAGGTCAAAGAGTCGTTGTACTCTGTTTAGCGTTTCCCGCCGTGGAATCCCTAATTTCAACCCTAAATTTTCAATTAACAAATTCAACATAGAAATAGGAGTTTCAAAGACTCCACGTAAGTGTGTCCTTAAGATACGTTTATTCCCTATTGAAACCTTGACCATAGTCAAGACGTTTCTAACCTCCCTTTCAAGGGGAACTACAATTACTCTGATTCCATTCCCGTCAGGATATGTAGGCACAAGATGCGACGTCTTGCCGAGTAAACTTAGGACTAACCCTTGGGTCTTTAGGTCACTCTATCCCTTAGCAATATATTTCAAACAGATAATAAAATAAAAAAAGCATACAATAAACAAAAGGTTCCTGTAGAGTACTACAGAAGTTTAGGGTGCTAGTACCTTCCCTAAGCTTAACCAACCCCTTACCTAGATCTCTCCCCGCATTGTCTCTACGATGCAAAATTAGGTTTTCCTCTTTTGACCTTTTCCTTCGGATAAATCAAAGAGCAGTTGTGAACTAAAGATGCGATTCAAATTAATTAATAATTTGATATCATATTCTAACCGCAACACCATCCAATGCTCGTGATTCAATCTGAGCTTTGAACTTTGACTTCCCAAAGCGCAGCGTTTCATTAATGCGTTGGCGCACTGGTGATCCTTGATGAGCTGACTTGGTCACGTGATCCAACCATCCTGATTAATTCTCAGCTTTTATTTTCTTTAATTGATTTTTGATTTTATTTTAATTGTCTTTTCATTTTTAATTCATATTAAATCCAATCTTGATCAGAAAAATATGATAAAAATATGTGCATGATCTAGATTTTATTTCTGATTTTCTGGTGCTTTTACATTTTATTTTCATGCAATTTTCAATTTAATTTGATTTTTTTGCATTTTCTTTAATTCCTTAAATTTGGCATAATTCTTCATTTTCTTGCTGATTTTTGTATGATCAATTGGTATGAAATTTGAATGAGATTTTTTGCTGGTTACTAGTATAGAGATGCATGATCCCTTAGGAATTATTTCACAATTTTTATATAACAATAGGTTTTGTTTTGGATTAGGTTCCCATGACCTTCCATTTTAGGGTTTCCCTTGGATACTGTGTGATTTAGGAATTTATTTAGTGGCTTTCCCCTTAGATTCATTCCCTGGTCTTTCTACTATAGATACCTAACACATGTAGGTTCCCTTAGAAAATTCTATAGATACCAAAGTATCATAGAAAAAACTTTTCCATTCATCTCCGTTAAAAAAAAATCTCAAAACTTATAAACTCCGAATAGATAATCTCACACATATTTCGTTATGATGCAAATTGATGGAATTTGATTCCTACATTTATAAATCACACGTTCCCCTACCGTCAATGCATTTCATATATATATATATATATATATATATATATATATATATATATATATATATATATATATATATATATATATATATATATATATATATATATATATATATATATATATATATATATATATATATATATATATTATTTGCACTAATCTGCAGGCAATACACAGAATCCAGATCCCAAATTGATACTCATATACAAACTGCCATATACATTTGGTATAAAAATTGCCATATTTTTATCGGTACAGTAAACTCATTAAATGCACCAAATTCCAAAAATCTCCCGCCTGCATAAATCTACAGTTTCTCATACTATTCCATTCTCATTCTGCATTCTCACTCGCAATCGTGACTCCTAAATTGAAGCATTTGTTTCTCGTTATTGCGTGACAATGTCAAACGCCATTGAATTCTTCCCTCTCAACACCGGAGCCAAGATCCCTTCCGTCGGTCTGGGAACTTGGCAGTCAGATCCCGGCCTCGTTGGTCAAGCCGTTGCTGCCGCCATCAAGGTTTCTCACTACGTCTTCTTTTTCGTTATATCGATTTTAACATGCACATTTTTGGAAATTTCGCAGTGTTAAATATATACTGATTTTGATTTCGATGAATCAATTTGATACATGAAGGCTGGTTATCGTCACATTGATTGTGCTCAAGTTTATGGCAACGAGAAGGAGGTAATTCATTGTATGTTTTGTCAATGGTGATGCGATTTTATGTGTGAAGTAAATGATTACTTGATTTCTTCTTTTGCAGATTGGCTCTGTATTGAAGAAACTATTTGATGATGGCGTTGTGAAACGTGAAGATTTGTGGATTACCTCGAAACTCTGGTTTGTTTCTTTATATTATATTCTACATTTCATTACCTCGTTGTGTCAATTAATTACAATCACTTCTTTATCATAGAAACTGTGAACAATGTTATCCGTAGGCACCTTTAGACAAGTTTTTAAATAACGGTCGTGTTGCGGTAGCGTAAGGGCTTTTGTGAGTCCGGTAGTGTCGCGGTGTGAATTAATCACAATTTGTTCTTTATCATACAGTGAATAATGGTATCGGTATCGGAACCTTCTGATACCGTTTTGTCGCGTCTGTTTTCGTAGCAACAGACCGTTTTTTAAAACCCTGCCTTCAAATACCATTTTGTCACTGTCGTTTTTGCGGTAACGGGTCGTTTTTTAAAACCATGGTTTTAGCTAAATGAGTTAATTAATGATGCTGAAATAACAATAGTTTTATGAATTTGTTAGTCTCTTCTTTGCTGTTCAGAACCTAAGGATTTAATATGAAGATCTGTACTGCAGGAATACTGATCATGCTCCAGAGGATGTACCGCTAGCATTGGATAGGACTTTAGCAGACTTACAGCTTGATTATGTTGATTTGTATCTTGTATGTTATAATATATATCACTTAATCTTCACATACTCTCCAACTTCTTGCTTGGTTAATTAATTTGTTTCAAAATTTGAACTGAAAATGTGAAATCTGAAATATGAATTTCAAAGGAACAGCTTTTTAATGATGAAATTGTGAACTTAATTAGTTAAGCAGTGCATTCTTTTACTGTAGAAAAGTTTAACGCTTGGTTATATATTGTGTGATTGTTTGGAAAATGCTAATTGTTTAACTTTTTGTCTTTTTCAATTCTAGCCTTTTCTGAGAAATATGGAAGTACTTGTTAAGCCATGTTTCTTGCACAGTTATTGACCACAAGTATAATTTAGTTTAGGGAATTTAAATTTCACTTCTTCCATATGCTGCATTACCTAAGGGCTTTTATCTTATTCATTCATCTTTTTATTTATGTTTTCTTTTAGATGCATGTAGGATTTATTTCATCTAATTTCAAAGTCTGGTGGTTTAATAGTTTATTTCGGACATGCTTCATTGAATGTTAACCGGTGACTCTTCTTTTTCAGATCCACTGGCCCGCTCCGATGAAGAAAGGATCAGTAGGTTTCAAGCCTGAAAATCTTGTGCAACCTAATATTACCAGCACATGGAGGGCAATGGAATCACTCTATGACTCTGGCAAGGCTCGGGCTATAGGTGTAAGCAATTTCTCGACCAAGAAGTTGGGGGATTTGCTGGAGGTTGCTCGTGTTCCTCCAGCTGTCAATCAAGTTGAGTGTCATCCTTCTTGGAGGCAGGGCAAGCTGAAGGATTTTTGCAATTTGAAAGGTGTCCACCTCACTGTAAGTTTTGAAATCTCGAATGATCATTATTTTGTTTCTGCATACTACATTGGCTTTTTTCAAGAAGCCTTTCTGTTAATTGAAAGTTCAAACTTGAAATGAACCTTTTTATTTAATGGTTTTCTCCTATTTAAGTTTTGCACTTTTGAATGTTTAGGGATATTCACCTTTGGGTTCCCCTGGAACCACCTGGCTTAAAAGTGATGTTCTTAACCATCCGACTCTAAAGGTGATAGCGGAGAAACTAGGCAAGACTCCTGCACAGGTAGCTCTTCGTTGGGGATTGCAAATGGGTCATAGTGTGCTTCCCAAGAGTACACATGAAACAAGGATAAAAGAAAACTTTGATGTTTTTGATTGGTCTATACCTGCAGACTTGTTAGCTAAATTTTCTGAGATTGAACAGGTAAGTGTTTGATGGTTTCCCTCGGTGTTTATATTTTTAAGAACAGAATATATTAACTATGTTGATATTGTGCTCTACTTGCATAAATAAAATCATCATTAGTCATTGCTTGATAAGCTTGCTGCTTGTTATTTAATATGCATGAATTTATAAGGCTGAAGGTCTTATTTACTTGGAAACATTGTCCAGTTTTATGACGGTGGTTTTTATTGTTGCAGGCAAGATTACTCCGGGGTGCCTCATTTGTTCATGAAACTTATGGTGGCTACAGATCTGTTGAAGAATTATGGGATGGTGAAATCTAAACAATCTGCTCCATAGGGGATTCGGTCACTGAATGAAATAAAGAGAATGCCGTTGTCTGGTCTTAGATTGTTGACGTAAGTGCTTGATTCTAGACTGTCGCTCTATCTCTTATTATTAACCAATCCCAAGTTTTAGAAGGACTGGGGCTTTGGTTAGGCAGCGGACCTCGTTAAGCCACAAAATTATTTCTGTTTTTTGCAATGAGATACCAAGTTTCTATTATATATCCTGCTTTTGCTTATGATTAAATGAAATAGTTGTATGTGATTGTGTTGTGAATGCTAAACTTTTGATGATGAGTAAAGAAGTTGTTACCCAAGTTTATTAGAAGACGAGAAAATATGGTAGTTCACTCTCTTCCAAGAGCATACATATTATCTCTTGGCTCTCTTACAAAGGCCTTGACTACCATGTTATTCTTCTCCTTGTATATTTGAGTATAAAGAAAGGAAGGTTTTTAACCCACTTTACAGATATTGGAATTTTATAAAAAATACACTACCAGAACTCTGCATTTTTAGAGAATAAATTGAGGAGTTTTCTGAAAAAAATGATACGAACTTTAAAAGTGGCTGGTCCCTTCGAGGACCTCCGATAAAATTGAAATGATACAGACAAGATTAGCATGACATTTGCACTAGGATGATGCGCACAAGATTTGATACAGTATACCGACGACACTACAATTATGGTCAAGGCTTGCTGGGAGAATTTATGGTCAATTAAGGCGGTACTTAGAGGGTTTGAATTGGTGTCAAGTTTGTGAGTTAATTTTAACAAAAGCAAAATCTTAGGATTCAATGTTAGTCAAGAATTTTTGCAGGCTGCATTTGATTTCCTATCGTGTGTAATAAGTCAATTTCCTTTTACTCTTCTTGGTATTCCTATCAGTGCTAACCCTAGTAGGTCTTCAACATGAGAACCAATCTTTCTGAAGATTTGCAACAAGTTGTGCACGTGGAAAGGAAAGAATGTCTTGTTGGGTGGTAGAGTGCTAACCCTAGTAGGTCTTCAACATGAGAACCAATCTTTCTGAAGATTTGCAACAAGTTGTCCGCGTGGAAAGGAAAGAATGTCTCCTTGGGTGGTAGAGCAATTCTCATCAATTCTGTTCAGAATGCATTACCTCTTTTTTCTTCTCTTTTTACAAAGCACCAAAAAAGGTCTTAAATGAAATTTTCAGAATTCAAAGGAATTTTCTTTGGAGTGGGGCGGAGGGCAAGAAACAGATAAATTTGGTTTCTTGGGCCTCAATTTGCAAGCCTAAGCTAAAAGGAGGTATTGGAATAAAAAATATCGAGCTTTTCAATTTGGCATTAATTGGGAGGTAGGCTTGGCGAGTTCTCTCGGATCAAAATGCAATTTAGCATTCCATGTTGTAATTCATATATGGGGACATCAAATCTTTGGTGTTGGATCAGTCCCCCAATGATAGGTGCAAGAAACATTCGATATGGTGGAGAGATCTCTTAATATCAATTGGCTCAAGTGCAGAAGATCATGACTGGTTTGATAGCAGTTTCTCTTGCAAATTGAGAAGGAGGTTTGATATAGACTTTTGGAACAACAAGTGGTGTGGTGAGACCCCATTCAAGCTTCTATTCCCAGTCCTTTTCGAATTGCTTCAAGCACCAAAATGCAAAATAATTGAAATGGGCTACTGGCTGCAAGTCAGGTGGAACTGGAACATTAGTGATTTTGTAGGTCTCATGGTTGTTTTTGCATGTACATAAGTGAGGGAGCTTACTAGTATTCTGATAAACATAAATCCAATAAAGGATTCAGCGGATGCATTCATGTGGTGGCGAGATACACATGGTTTTGATGTAAAATCAACATATGTTGTCTTTGTTGATACATATGTCGAAGGTGGTCCAATAGATGAGAACAAGACTAAAGTGTTAAATCTGGTGTGGTCCTCTAATTAAGCTAGCTATATTCAAACCTTATCTGGAGATTGATTCTTAACAGGTTGCAAACTAGAGACGAATTAGCGAAGCGCTGAGTGGTGTTGGGTCAACATGATCTTGTATGCCCACTGTGTTTAGGGCCAAAGGAATCCCATCTTCATCTCTTTCTCCATTGCACAATTTCTGTTTCCGTGTGACACTCAATTTTTAGTTGGCTCAAGGTGTCTACGATTACTGGCGAAGAAAATCTAATGACTCATTTGCCCGGTTTCAATGTGCATATGAAAGGCAAGAGCACCAAGATATTTAAGCTTTTATTTTGGATGTCAAATACATGGTTAATATGGCTAATGAGAAATGATATCTTGTTTAAAGGGGGCGTAAAGGACTGGAGGACATAGTTTTGCTTTCTAAAAATCTGTCATGGGATTGGTTTGGTGCTAGATCTTTAGGGTCTTTGAATATTGATAGGAATGAATGGTTGTCTTATCCCTTATCTGCTTTTGCTCTTTAGTTGGTGTAGTTTGAGTTGTTTATGCCTGGCTTTGCACCGTTTTCTCTATCCTTTTGTATTTGGGTTAAGCACTCATAGTATCTGTTTTTTTTAATATCACATGTCCTCTTAAATGTTCTATTCTTTATTAGTTAGGATAAATTGAGTAAGTAGTAAACTCAGATAATACAAATTCTTACAAAATTTTCTTAACCCTTACTAATTGGTAAACGAAGACACTTTGCTAAATTTGATAAAAGGCATTTTTGAGAATATGAAGAAATGTCAAAGGTACAATGGTCAATTGTCCACTAAATGACAAAATACCATTCTATTCCTCATTTCTCTTCTCTCATTTTTTCACCATTTCTTCATTTTGTTAGTAGGAAAGAAAAGAGAAGAGAGAAAGAAGAGAAAAGGAGAAGAAGAAGAAGGTCTTGGAGCAAGGAAGAATCTCATCTCATCTCAATTCACCATCATCATCTTCTACTGGAGGCGGGTTCTTCTTAGTTAATATAGCCATTAGGGGGAATTTCGCATGAAATTGGGTTTTAGGATTTTAATGATTCTTGCTTTCCTTGTGAAATTGGTACTTAGAACATGATCTTGCTATATCACATGTTGTTGTTGCTAATCCATGATGTCGTGTTGGTATTGTGTGAATGTGTTTTTTGAAACTATGTTGTTGTGGTTGTTGCATGATGTTATGTCATGTAGATGATATGAGGTTGTGTTGTTGCAGTTAGAAGTAGTGTTTGTGGATTCATAAGAAACTCACATGATTGATGTTGATATGTATGTCATGAGGTTGAATGAAGTATTATAATATGTTATATGATGATATAATGAGTTGAATTATTAGAGATTAACGAGGTTAAGAAGTGATTAAAACATATTTGTCTATACATCGATGTTGATTTCATGGTATGAAATGTGAATATATTTTAGAATGATTGAATATGGTTTGGAATGGTTAAAGGTTGAGAAAATCATTCAATCTCTTGAATATCATAATATTTCATCTTGTAAAGATGGAGAATGTCCATTCTGTGATCATTGTGTAGTTTCATTATGATGTGAAACTTGATCACTATATTGTGTTAGAACAAGATTTGTTCATGATATATATCCTTAGTTTTGATGATAACAAAAGTATTAAAAAAACAATGGTGTTATCTAATGTGTGTTCAAGTATGCAGGTTCTTATACTTAAGAGACATATTCAAAATCTAATATGAAGACACACTTGAGTGAAGTTGAGTTACGTGTTTCTAATGATACAGAATCTGAAGAACACTTGCTAAGTGATGTCTGATGTAGACTTTGAAGTTGAAGACCTCAACATCAGAAGAAGTAATACATTGTTTCTACACTTGGTAATTGTATTAGCTTCTGGCGATCGTTTAGAAGTTGTAGCGAAGTTGAAGCCATCCTTACTGCAGAAAGAAAGTTGTAACATCAAATCAGCTTGTCAGCTAGAGTCTATGATCACAAGGTTCAAGAAGAGTTGACATGCTTTACGGATAACCACTCTCAACGACTATATAGTACATGATACTTTTGAAGACGCGGTGGTTAAAAAAATTACACAATGGATCAAGATCTTTTGTGTATCTATCTTCAACGTCTCTTGTACTATAGAGAGAACAAATACATTTGATCAAATTATCTCTTCCAACGGTTAGTTCTCTGAAATCTGCTATATAAGTAGTTGAAGGTTCTACTTGAATCTTTAACAAGATATAAGAAGAAGAAGGAATGCCAAAGAGGATAAAGGTGTTCAACGCCTTTATCTGAATGAAGAAATAATAAGATTAACAATGAGTAACACTACTGAATATGCATAATCTTTTGTTAATTATTGTAAATTGTAAATAGCCTTAAGGTTTTCTAAACATTGAATATTCTGGAGATCTTGAGAGCTTAAGGTCTTTGTTAAGGTTATTATCCCGTACATATGATTCAGGATCAAGTACACCTTGTTCTCTTTTATGGTGAACATGTTATTCAGTAGATAAGAACAAAAGTCGCATACTATGTGTTTAAGCATTAAAGTCTCCAGTTGAAAAGCTTGAGTCAAGTAAGTCTCTTGCTGTGTGCTTGAGCATTGAAAGTCTTGATCTGTTTTGATTAAGCAGTAAGGTTTTGGATTGTGAATCTGAGCAAATGAAGTCTTAGATAGAATGTTTGAGCAGAGAAGTCTTGGATGGTGTGTCTAAGCAGGAAAGTCTTGGACGGAGGGTTTGAGTAAGGGAGGTCTTAGGCAGTGTATCTGAGCAAAGAAGTATTGACCCAAGTGGTTTGAGCAAGGAAAGTCTTAGGATCTGAGGATCTAAGAAGAAAGTCTTGATCGAATGTTGATTGAGCAGGGAAGTCTTAGGCTGTAGGTCTGCGCAGTGAAAGTCTTATGTTTGAGTGCATAAGCAATTGTAATCATGCGTTGATTATAGTGAAAAATCTCTCGCGGGGTAAGGGGACTGGAATAGTCTAAGTTAGGAGAGGAACTAGGATAAATCTGTTGTGTTCATTGTCCCATTTACTTTACTTATGATATATTGTTTCGCTGCACTTATGATCAGATTCTGAACCAATTAGA